TATTCCCCACACCTCTCCTTTTTTTAGTGTGTGTGTATATGTTTGTGTGTGAGTGTGTGTGTGTGTGTGTGTATATGTGTATGTGTGTGTGTGTGTGTGTGTGTATCTAATTATGTCTGGATGCTTATGTATTATAATCTGATTGTGTTTTTGTTGTGTCACACGTGAGTTTAAGACCATATTCACAAACTTTAAAAAAAAAACGGAAAAGAAGGAAAAAGAAAAATATATATACATGTATTATCAAATGACCGGATGTATTGTAGCGTCTGGTCTTCTCGAACGTAATTTCAATGAAGAAATGAATTGAATAAACACATATATATTTTTTTCTTTTATCAATAATTTTGTAGTTTTTAAACTTAATAGTGATTAAATTTGGTTTTAAAAATTGCCAGTTTTTAATTTTAACATTAAATTTTATCATGTAAATTTATAATTATTAGTTAGTATAAATTATTTTTAATATTACACGTATTTAAAGATATGAATAGCTATTAGAGCAGGATTTCGTTGTCAAGCTTTTGAATCTTTCTATACTTCGTTTTTGATTGGTTATTCTAGCTTTTGTAACAAATTTCCCCCCAGTGTAGGATCGTTAATTAATCTGAAACTTTTAAAACCATTTATTTTATTTTCAACATCATCTTGATAAGACACAGTGTGTTGAAACAAAATGGCTATTTTGTAGTGATTTTATAACATACTTATGTTATAATTTTTTATAAAAATAATTATATCTGCTCTACTTTGTATTGAGCACTCTTTTAAGAATAGTAATTGTTGGTTATTGGAATTCATTCCGTGTATACCAATTATATACTTTGATATATATATATATATATATATATATATATATATATATATATATATATATATATATATATATATGTTTTCAGTATAAAAAAATACAGTGATTAGAACGGACGTATAGACAAATATGTAGAGAGTGGAAGAGATATGTTGGAATAAATTAAAATAAATATGGAATTATAAATATACAGAGCAACCTCGGTTCTCGAACGTCTCAAATGTCGAACAAATCGGTTTTCAAACATAAAATCCGTGAGGAAAATGACTCAGTTATCGACGAAAACTTCAGTTTTCGAACAAATTTGTACTAAATCGGTTGATGTGCAAAGGTTTTGTGGAAAAATATCACCCTGATACATTGGTAGTAAATACAGCAGTCAACTTTTTCAATGCCTGATTTTAGAAACATTTTGCATTGCAAAGCAAAAACAACTAACATTTGACAGGTTTTTACTGAAAGAAAAAAGAAAAGAATCCCCTGAGAAAGATTTACCTGAACGAAAGTGATAGAGAATGGAAGAAACACCCGAAAGGAGTTTTTATGCAAGGGGGGGGGCCACTTCTAATAAATACTCCTCCTCCTCCTCTTCCCTCCCTCACCTCTATTCACTTACGACTATACATCGCAACCAAAAATACGTAATACAGCGTTGTTATCTTAAATTTATTTCTATTATGTTTTTCCTTTCATTTACACATTTGTACGTTATTTACTGTTTGCATAAAAGTTTTTATATTAAAATATATAATGTAAGCATGTAAATAGGTAATCATCTGGTGCTTGGAAACGGAATAATCTCTTTTACATTAATTGTAATGGGAAAATGATTCGGTTATCGAACAAATCGGATTTAGAACAGCCTTTCAGAACAAATTATGATCGAGAACCGAGGTTGCTCTCTAATAAGATGAATAGATATGGTGAAACAGAGATAGATAGATAGATAGATAGATAGATAGATAGATAGATATGAACAGCGATAGATAGATAGATAGATAGATAGATAGATAGATAGATAGATAGATAGATAGCAATAGACTGATAGATATTAATTCACTATCATATAATTCATGAATATTTCTTCGTCTCTATGACTCTATTTCGAACTCGAGAAATCATGATTCTCCTTATCCTGTATTTTATTTTCACAGTACAATGAATAGTAAACATTTGTCAACATACTCTGAATGAACACTTGGTTCGAGAGACATCATCACAATATAGAGAACTAGAGATTAAATAAAACATTTTCGTCCAACATCTGCAGAAGGTTCAACAATGTTAGAAACCTGAGGAAAGGCCTAGTGTACACGGACTAAAATAATATCCCACAGACAACAAACTAAGAGAAAATGTCTGAATGAATTTATATAATAATTTCAACAAAAATGAACATATTAATATCAAACAACATGAAAGAATAATTTAAATAAAATTATAATTACCATAAAAAAGTTAAATCTTGTTTTTTTTAAAAAAGAGTACAAAATAACCAGTTGATTCCTCTCCATCGAAGACGGGAAAATATGCACAGTGAATAAAATAGAAAATCAAAGTATATATATATATATATATATATATATATATATATATATATATATATATATATATATATATATATATATATATATATATATATATATATATATATATATATATATATATTAAATATATAGGCATCAAAGATTGATAACATTCAGGTGTAAAAGCCAGTCTTTCTTACAGAGGGACGGCTGAAATGACTTAATATATATAGTTTCTTAGTTTAAACTCTGAATGAGCTTTTCGGGAACATGTCTTGGTTACAAGCTCGCCCTCACTGATATTTTTAACAAATCTTCAACTATCACCGAACCAGATGCATTGATGCTGCTATGTAAATTATCCAAATTCTAACAAAAATATTAACTTATACACTTGACTGTATCCATGTTTGAGCGCCTCTCTTGTATTCTTGGATAATTGATCTATCATAACTTTCTTCTGTCTCACAATCATTTATTCACAATAGATTACTGAACAATTGTTGTTTCTTAGTTTAGATGTCATTTGAACTTACATTAGCCATGAAGAAAATTATTTGATGAAGCATTCAATTTTTCATATCGTATGAATGCATACATATTCACAATCACGAGTCTCGTAACACATTGAGATCGCGTGGGTGCATCATCGTTGTAGCAGTGCAGCTGTCGTAGCAATTATTTGTCATGGACAAGATAGCCTATCCCACGCTGGTTGAATTCAAAGTTTTACCTTCTTTTAAAATGCCCACCAAGGCTATCGGGCATCGACTGCCTTGCTATTTAACCCATAGCTGAGGGAATAGATAGTACTGTCTAATATATATTTGGGATGCAGATAAGCATTGTAAGTTAATCTCGTTTAAACACTGAACTGCTGTGGAAAACAAAACGTCAAGCTCAAAATTTATTTCTGACTCTGTAACAAAGCAAAGGCGAGCATTTGTAATTTCTCAGTTTTGTTTAATTCAAGAATTACATTTGGAAAAAAAAAACATGTTTAAATGTAATCGTGTCACACCCTCCCCGGCCGTCCAAAACTTCCCACACCACGGCTGGTCGCTGATGTGACCGCTTCAATCCCGAGCTAACCTTATCCCACGTTGTGATTTAAGTTTGATCATAAGGCAGCCAAGATAGAATCGACGCAGGTATCTTCGTGTTAGGCGGGTCCAAGCACGGCGTAGACGTACAGGAAAAATAAATAACACCCGAATAAATTGAACCAAAGTAAATACTGTTTTTATATCAGTCTTTTGTACAATAATTGGTTTATATCGGAATTCGCATTATGAGGCCAACCCGCGTCTAAATCCGAAGTAATATTATTGTTGACTTTTTAAAATTTGGGTTGCTGTTTTGGTAAAGTTCAGCACAAGCCTGACGTCATTCTCTTCAGAAGGCAATCACATCGAGTGTATCACGACCGGTGACTGGGACGAGCTCTCTCGTCTGTGGCTACTCTGCTACTCTTTCCGGCTCCGAATGGCAAATTCACTTCGCACATTCATATATACTGACATAATTTGGGGTAATTCTCTTCTCCTAATCTCTAATATCATTACCTCTCATTAAACCTCTTCAGTGAGCGTGGATGGTTTATCCAACCCCCTCTTGTCACGAATCAAATTTCGACCAGGAGAATCAACTCCAAATTCGTTGTTTACGAAAAATGAAATTTTCTCTTTACAGCTTGCATTTTCAGCTGTGTAGAACACATGTCAATCATCATTGCGGCCTAATTCTGGGTTACTTTTCCATTGTTCAAACTGCTCGACATACAATTCAAGTCGTTTATGTGTGAATTAAACCCTCAGTTCTTCCCTCGGGTTGTTGGTATTAACCCTTCTCGTATCAATGTATCTCAATATATAACACTTTCTTATGTTTTAACAAAAATTTCTTCCATCTTACTACGGCAACAACAAATAGTATTACATGGAAAAATTTTAAAATTTAAGATTATTTGCAGAACGTGTACGACATGAGATTTCATAACGTTTTATTTTAATAGAATGGCGATAAATCTGACTCAAACCAGTTTTTTATTACGAGACTAAACAAATTATTAACACCGATTTTGTACCCTTTCCATCCAGGACGCTGAAGATTATGGCTCTCCACAAGTTCCTGTCTTCTGTAGCTCTAAGTGTCGTTTCAGTCTTTTTACTGCTTCTCTTTGTCTTGCTCTTCAGTTCATTAAGTACGTCGCTATTTTTACTTTACACCTGTTTCTTTCAATACGTCTTGAGTGTATTTAATTTTCCAAGTCGTTCTTTCTCATAATGAGCCCTAGCTAATGCAACTGTCTCTTTCTGAGTATAAGTTTTATTCTTGTTCCGACTTTCGTCAGAATTTCGCCGCTTCTAACATGGTCTGTCCATGGTATTCTCAGCCTCCTTCTATAGAACCATATTTTGTCGGTTTAACTTTCTTATTCTATAAGAATACAAGAGAAGAGATATAACTTTTGAGCATTATTTGATCCTATCGAAATATTCCCTTGTTTTTCTTTTCTCAATTCGTCTTTGGATATTGCCCCCCCCCTCATTCCGTCAACCCCACTAAAATATTAAACAGGGTAACTGATTAATTATTTCCTCAGGAATTTACTCAATAAATCTCCAAATGACATAAGAAAAGCCACAAACCACGTATCAAGAATGTGTTTACGAGCCCTGAAATCACCTAAAACTAGGTACAGTCCCCCTGAGAAGATAACTTTTTCTTAGGTTTCCTGCTAAGAAAATCTCTTTTTCCATTTGGAATCTATTTCTGGGAAGAGGAAATACTAATGCTATGAAGCTGGATTTTGCTGTATATCTGCCTATAAAAATCCTATTCTGTTTGTCCCTTCCTCAGTTAGCACGACCGTTACGCCCTACCAGTACCTCATAAATAATGAACTATTCTGTTTTAATCGTATGGAACTACGGAAAAGGCATATTCAAGACGCTACTCGGTTTCAGTGAGAATATGAATGAAAGCAATAAATGATTGATACGCCTTGCCAATACCGTATGAATAATGAACTATTCTATTTGGATATATATATATTCATATATATATACATAAAAAATTTATCAGAGTTAACCTGTAGAAATAGACAATATGTATAAAGGTAAAAGACAATAGGAAACTGTATGATTAGCCAAAGCTTTTCGTCCAATGTGGACTTTTTCAAGGACTTTTTCTTTTTTGCCTTGAAAAGTCCACATTGGACGAAACGCGTCGACTAATAATACAGTTTTCCTATTGACTTTTAACTATATATATATATATATATATGTGTGTGTGTGTGTGTGTGTGTGTGTGTGTGCATACGTATGTGTGTGTGTATGTGTATGCGCGCGCGTGTATGTGTAGAAATTTCAGATACAATATATTTATGAAAGGAAAATATGAATAAAGATAATAAGAAAACTTATCTTAGCTGACGAGTTTCGTCCCCTGAGCGACTTTATCAAGACAAATGTACGAATTTTATCCAAAGACAGAAAAGATATATCAGAGACGATACTTGGTTTCAGTGAAAGAAAGAAAGGTTTAATGTCTCCTGCCAATACCTCATAAATAATGGACTATTCCGTTTTGTTTACGTGGAAAGACAAAAAAGACATATCGGAGACGCTACTTAGTTTCAATGAGAAAATGAAAGAAAAATTAACAATTAAGAAAATGTTTAATGCCTGTTTCATCGAAATGGAATATTATCGATTTTAATTTTTATCATTTGTACCGCTTCTTAAAATAACGACCAACATTTTTATTTATGAAAAATCAAAGATGATAATGCTCTCATGCGTTAACGTCTGCTTCAGTGAAGTCGAAAACTTCATTTGTATCCTCTTACTTACGATTGTTATTGCAATTTTGTTAAGCTCAAATATTTAACGATGTGATAGGGGAATTTCTACGGATATTTTATTGTCGTAGAACTCGCCATGAGCTTATTCAATCATTAACTGAAGAATTCAGATTCGGGAGAAAATTAACATAGGAAATCCATGAAATTTTCCAGGGTCTTTCTTCTAAATATATAAATATAAATCTCAGAATAATGTCAGTCTCCATTCATCAGTCAGTATATCTACCTGTCTCTTTGGTAAAACTTGAATCAGTTTTGCTTCCATTTTATTTTTAGGAGTTATTGTTAAAGCGTTTCGTAACCAACAGTACGTTCATTTTAAAATCTCTTTTCCATATATTTTAACTTTCTTGAGTCTGTTTACAGACGTGTCTATCACTAATAGAGATTGAGATTCTAACATACGTTTTGCAGACGCCGTTGACCTCATAGTAAGTAGTTACATTGAACTCCAGTATTTAACCAACAAACTTGCTGAAAGAGCAGGAGCATATGGAATTGAGGTCAGCTCCGAGGAATCCAAAGTAATGGTGAATAGCACAAACAGTAACATTACGATGAACACGTATTCCCTGGAGAAAGTGTCCAGATTTAAATACTTAAGAGCAATCTTGTCTAAAGATGGTACCTGCAACTCTGAACTCCACACACGGATTGCCTCTGCCATGTCAACGATGGCCAAATTGGCAAAGTACAGACTGTACAAATCGCTGATATTCTCCATTCTCCTCGATGGATGCGAAACGTGGACACTGTTGACAAAAACAAAGAGAAGGATCCAAGTGTTTGTGAAAAATGCATGAGAAAACTCCTTGGCATCATCTATTTGGAACATTAAACCAATGGGTTTGTGCGGAAAAGGGTTGAAAGTTTTGTGCGCCACCAGGAACCTCTTCCCTCCACTGTCAAACGGAGAAAAATGGCGTGGTTTGGACACGTTACAATGCACGACAGCCTGTGCAAGACCATCATGCAAGGCACTGTTGAAGTTGGACCTAGGAGAGGGTGCCTATTCTAAAACTGGTTGGACAATATCAAACAATGGACAGGTATCATTATAGCAGAATTGCTGATAGATGCCGTTGATAGATCGTTGTGGGTGAGATTCAATATGGCTTCTGCATATGGATCCCCACGGCGATTACAACAATCATTATGAAGATGATGATGATGATGATGATGATGATGATGATGATGATGATGAATCTGTTTAACTTATTATCTTATCTAGGATCAATATATCGATCTGAAATCATCTAAATAAATATCAATCAGTCATTTTTTAGTTTTTTAATGTTATTTTTTTGTTTTTACTCTTTTAGTCTTTTACAACTTTTGTTTTTCTTTTCTATACTTCCTTACAAATCTTTCATTTTTTTTCTCTATTTTTTTCCTTTTTCTCTTCACCTTTTTTCTTTTTTTCTCTTCACCTTTTTTCTTTTATTTTATTCTTTTTTCTTTCACATGCACTTTTACCTTTCCTTTCCTTTATTTTCATTTTTTCTTTTTAAAATGTATTTTCTTCGTTTACCTTTTAATATTTTTTTCTCTTTATCATTTTCTTTGGCTCTTTATTTGTTTTTATTTGGTGACATTCCTCTTTCGGGTTTCAGAGAATTAAATCAAGAGTTTCTTATAGATTTTGCAAGGTTTTCCTTCCAGCCATGACTTTCAATGACATTTCAATGATCCCCGTTGCATGCTTTTTTTTTTCCTTCCTGCCTACTTTCTATCCATACGTTTTTGGGGGTTTTTTTGTTTGTTTTTTGTTTTGTTTTTTTTCAGCGCAAAGTAAACCCTGGATCTATATTAGTAATCAAATAAAATACCACTGGTATTTTTTTCCTAAATGTTCAATTCAGTTTGTGCAACGAAAGAATTTATTTTATTCTTTCGTTCAGTTATTCCTTCGTCCATGTTCTTAAAAGTCATTCGCTCGATTTGTTTCCTTCTTTGATTGTTTGATCTGTTCTCTTCGATGCGACAGAATCTTTTGCTTTGACTTTTTTTTTGTTTTCTCAGTGTTGGAGGGGGAGATGTTTTTTCATCTTCACGAGCTCTTTTAAAAAAATGCTTTTAATTGTTTCTTTCTTTCGGTCATTTTTAGAGGTTTCATTATTTTGAAAATATTTCTTTCTTTTAAAGCGTTGTCGTTTTCGTTCGATTTTTTTTTCTTTTAGTTAATTCTCGAAACCTTTGTCTCAGGATATTCATTTTATTTTGCATTCATCCTTTTTTTTATAAAATTTCTGCATTTATTTGTCATTCCCCCCTCCTTTCTCTTTCTTTCATTATTGAATTATCTACTTTTTTTCTCTTTCTTTTTTCATTCTTTTTTTATCAAATTTCTTTCTTTCTTTTTTCATTCATTATTCTTACTTTATTTCTCACTTTCTTTCCTCCTTTCTTTATTTTCTTTTTTCTTTCCTTATCTATTTTGGTCTCTTCATCTATTTTTCTCACATTATCTGTTTTCTTTTATTTTACTTTCTTTGTTATTTGCTTTCTTTCTTTCGTCATATTTTAGGTGTTTATTTTTCTTTCTTTCTTTGTCTATTTTCTTACTTAATTAGTTAGTTAATTAGTTATCTTCAACCTCTAATAAATCTTTCCTCGTTATATTTTCCCCTCCCTTGTCTTCCCGATGTTTGATATTTCTACCACAAACATTCCTTTTTATTTTCTTCTTACCTTCTTTTTTATTCGCTTTCTCTACTTCTTTCTTTCTATTTCTCTCGTCATTACCTTTTCTTCCCTTTCGTTTTTCTACTTATAACCTTCCTTCTTTTCTTCCTTTTCCTTCCCTCTGCTTCTTTCATGTATACGCTCTTTCTTTCACTCCTTCTCTTCTCCTCACTCCCTCTAAGTCTCTACTTCTTCACTTTTTCTTTCCTTCCTATCTGTTTACTAGACATCTTTGCTTTGTTGATTCTTCACTTGTGTTTCGTTTCTTTCATTCGGTTTTTCTTTCGTCTCTTTTTCTTTTGTCCGTTTCTTCTTTAGTTAGATTTTTGTATTTAATTCTTTTCTTGTGTTTAAATTTTTTCTTTTCCTTCATTTTTTTTTTATTTTTTCATTCCTTGTATTTTTGCAATCAACGCTGCAATTGCTATCTTTTTGTACGTCGTTTAAATCTTTAATTTTCTGTATTGTCTTTAAAATTGATTTCCTTCAAATTTCATTCTCTTGTGTCTTTTTACCTTTCTCTTCTCACTTCTTCCTCTCTGCCTTTCTCATTTACCGGCTTTAACCAATTTCTTTAACCAATTTCTTTTTCCAGCACCCATTCTGCAAACTGCTGTCAGATTTCCTTATCAAACACGTTTCCTTAAAAAAAAAAAAAGAATTCATTCGCCTAACTCAAAAGTATTAGTCACAGCTTTTATATTCGCTACAACATGGCCTCAAACAAAATCGATTCGAAATGACCAACGTGGTCAATTTAATTATCGCCAGGTTTCAGGTAGATGTGCTACAGCAAACAGCACATCCAATTATTGTCAATTGGCCAATAATGGTGTTGTCGAAGCTCCTTGCAAGCAGATGGGCGGAGGCGAAAGAGAAAGGAAAAGTAGATATCAAAACCTTCTCTTTATGAACGTATTCGCTCCTTGCTTTCATCCTTTGCCACAATCAATTAAGGAATGCCTATTTTAAATATGTCAGTAGGAAGGTAACCTTTTAGATGTCAATGTCCTTATTTTAATTTGAGTTCACTCCACACAGATATACACATGCATATACGGGCGCTCGTGTCCACTTCGGATATGATAGATAAATCTATCGATATTATAAAGGATGCATCCATTACCTCAAAAAACAAATATATATATATATATATATATATATATATATATATATATATATATATATATTAAGAAATGGACAAAAGTCCGACAATTTATAAATAGAAAGTAAAAAACTTTGTCTGTTTCTATTTTCTATGAAAATTTCTCGGACATTCAGGCCGGTAAATGTTATTTAATACTGTTTATCATAAACAGAGCATTTAGTTTATAAATATTTGTATCTATAAAAAAGAACGTTAAACATAAAAATGTCTTTAATAAATAAATTGTCGGACTTTGTTCCATTTTTCTTAATATATGACGAATTTGTTTACATTTGATATTTTTATGAAAATGTACGACATTCAGGAAGATTAAAGTTTATAAGTACTGTTTAAATTCGACCTCGCATTTACCGAACTTGTATCTTTAAAAAAAAGAACGTAACATAAAATGTCTTTAATAAATATATGTGTAGAAATTTCAGATACAGTATATTTGTGAAAAGAAAATATGAATAAAGATAATAGGAAAACTTAGCTCACTTGGTTTCGTCTTCTGAGTGACTTTATCAAGGCAAATGTACGAATTTTATTTTGTAACAAATATTGATATACAAGAGCAAAAAAGTTATTGTTTTTTTTTCAATTTTTTTTTTTTTTTTACAGGAGTGCTCATGACATTTTGGCTAAACCGATGAATACTCATCAGCACTCCTATACCAAAAAATGTAAATAGAAAGTAAAAAACTTTGTCTGTTTCTACTATTTAGAATGAAGATATTTCCAGCAATGCCTTGTTTGGATGAAACCTTTTTTTGACAAAACTTGCTTCAGAGTCTGATTGTGGAAATATTGTCTAGTACAAGGTCATAAAAACGGAATGTTCTGGAAAAAATGCTTGATAAGAGAACCTAACTCCACAGGTTATATATAAATACATACACACAGACACCCAAATTTGTGGGTTTTGAATACTGCTAGAGATTTTTATTCTAAGCCTTCACTTGTTGAGCGCGGCTAGGATTCGAGTGAGCACCTTTCTATATTTTTTTTTTTTTAACATTCAGCACATCACTTCCATTTTCAAACAAGGTGAGGTTTGATAGCGGGAGAGAGATATTTAATATACATGACCCTTCTTATAGCGACATGTTTTCCTTAATTTGATTTATAAATAATTTTAGTGCTTTCGACCAAAATCTTTCTTAAGGGTTGTTGTAGATTGGGAGTAGATAGAAGTTTTTTTTTTTAATTCTAATTTGCTCTGATAAGTGACAAATAAATCATCAACAGAAGGAGGTGGTAGTATGTTCAATATAGGTAACTGATTTATGGCAAGAGAAAGTAATGTACTGGACAGTGATGAAATAACGAGTATTGCCCTAAAGAGTATAGTGGAGAAACTTCAAGGAGTTTAAATAAAAGATTATATGAACACAAAAGATACATTTTAAAAACAACACATTAAACGCATTAACGGTTCACCGTAACGAAACTGACCACAATTTTAACACGAAAAGACTACTCTAATTACAAGAGAACATAATTCACTAAGATGAAAATGTTTAGAAAGTACTTTAATTGCTAGTTCATCCACAGTAAATTTGCGTCCAGGTTCCTACAACGTTTCACCATTGTTGGCAAATCTTCTGTTATCACAATGTGAAATATTTGATAACCAAGATAATGGAAACAAAAACAAACAAAAAAAATCTGAAAGAAATTTGTTAGATTATATATCCGATATACATTAAAAAATAAGAAATTCTAAATTTTAAATTCCCAGTGTCTCTCATTCGTGCGCATGTGTAGTCGCATCAACGTAATCAAACCTAAGAGACGAAACGCGCCACACGAAAACATTTTCCACTTTGTCATACATCTTTCCTCCCAAAAATATATATATGTACACACACAATTTATTTATGTATGTATGTACGTACGTACGTACAGTATAGTAATAAGCTGTAAAAACTTAATATTACGCTATACGTTGCTGTAACCGGTAAAATTAAGACAGAATTTTAAAATTGCTGTCTGATATGGTCAGTGGCCCCTGTTAATTACCTTCAAAAAAGAATCTGCAATATTATTGGTCCTGATCTGGCGGCTCAGTTCCAGTCAATTTCCTACTGCCGGAAGGTTGTCTCTCCATGTCTTTTCTATAAATACTTCCATGGTAATTGTTCGAGTGAGCTCTTCGCCATTAAGAGCGAAACTAGACTGGCGTCAATTTCTCATCAATTTACAGTTAAGCTGGCTAGACGTAGTCGTAAGTTATGCTAACAGTTTCTTATCTCGCACATCTCGCTTGCGGAATATATTTCCGGTTCATGCTTACCAGCCAACCTTAACCTGCAAAAATTTAAATGAAATGTCAATCGCTATCTACTGTCCACTAGATTACTCTCTTCTCTTTCGGCTCATCTTACTTATTATAAAACGCAGATTGTGTGTGTGTGTGGGTGTGTGTGTGTGTGTGTGTGTGTGTAACGTTTATGTATTGGATCGGATTTCCTACATTTTTTAGCCGATTTCAACAAAACTTCACAGGACTACATAAAATTACCTTGTGGTGGTTCTAACGGCGCCGAAAATGGTAAAAACACAATTGTTTTTTTAACAAAATCAATTTGAAAACACGATTAAGTAAGACACATCGTGAGAATGAAAGGGGAACAACTCACATCGGGTTAAAAAACACAGGTTGTTTGTGTGTGTGTGTGTGTGTGTGTGTGTGTGTGTGTGTGTGTGTGTGTGTGTGTGTGTGTGTTCCTTTATATATGGGATCGGATTTCTTACATTTTTCTGCCGATAAAACAAACATCCACTTTTTTTTTTTGGCAAGCAGTGTTTCTTATTGTCTTGCACACTTTTTTCTTTATCTTTAACATTCAGAATGTTTTTAAAATTCCATTTACAAGACAATTGTTTATAATAAAATTCTATTCATCAATCGATAGACTGATAACGATTGTAAACAATGTTTTTGTTTGAGTTTGGGTTTGACCAATTCGTAAAAAAAAAACAAAACAAAAAAACTAATTGAGACATGCGTGTCCGTCAACCTTAAACAATAATCTTTGTCAATTTTATTTTTCAGTCTTTATTATGGTCGATACTTGATCTATCTCTTACTGTTACATCCCCGGACAACGCCGGGCTCTACTGCTAGTCATTAATATTTCTGTTCCTAATTGTTCCACACCTTGTAACCCCTTGTGTGTTAGTGGCATTACTGCCTTGCTTGAGATGATTCAGATAAAAAAAAGATTTAAAATTTTATATAATTAAAATTTTGAAACATTGCAAAACAATTCTTGCAAAAATTCATTATAAATCGATTTTTTTTATTAAAACAATATTGTCCATAATATATCTTATTCATAAAAGCAGTTCTAAGTTTTTCTAAATAAACAATATCATAGTTTTATTCCATTTTTTTTTTTTTTTACGATTCAGAGCAGATTTTCGGTAAAAGTAGGATTCTATTTTACAAAAATAAATTAATAATTTAAATTTAAGTTCAGTTTTAAACATTAAGTGGTACAAAATTTAATTTCTCAAAATTTCATAAAATTAAATAATTGAGGGCTAACAATGACTAGGCCTAAAATTTTCATTAAAATCAGACAATTATGTGATTTTTCAAAGAATTTCCGAATCAATGTCTTTTTCACCACAAAAAAGACGCCAAAATTATACTAAGCTTCGCAGCCACCCCTCGAAAAAAAAAAAAAGATTTTTAAATAAAATTTTTTAAAAATTCTTTGGTCTTTTCTC